CTGAATTCCCAGAGCAAAGGAATATTCCATCTACCTCTCTATCTCTCATTACTGCTACAGTGCTTCACACATAGGTGCTAAAGTATGAATGAACAAACGAATGATGAATGAATGAGTAAAGAAAGCATCTTGATGATACAGTCATACGCCATAGATAGTGGAACTAGCAGGCTAGCCAATATCAAGAGTATTTGGTTTGTGGGAAAACATAGATCTTTTATTGTTCCTTAAATAACTTACAAAGAATATTGGTACTTAACATTTGTGGGAACTATGACTTGTAAACACTTTAAGCTTAGCCATTAAGAATTATGAGTGCTTCTGAGGGTCATTGTGAGGAGTAATTTGGAGAAGCTGACACTGAAGGAAGATGTACATTCCCAACATAGGTATACAAGTAGAAGCGTTCTCTAAAGCAATATTGCTAACCTGAGGGAACATAGATGGATGGTTAAATAACAGATGTCCCTACAAATGTTATTGGGAGTTCTGTAAGAGTTAACATGTGTTAAACTGTTTAAAACAAAGTCTGATTGGACAAGTGGTAAATGTGATTAATAGACATGATAATTTGATAGTTTAGGTATCCATTTCTTCATAAGAGTTCTTGCTGCTTTTCTCAGAAACTAAAAATATTTTTGGAAAAGGTTCGTGATTATTGGAAAAAAAACATACCACTCCCCCCCTCCCCCGCACACACACACAGACCATATGGGTACTAAATTTTATTTAAAAACAAAAGTCCATAGTTCTATTCTATTCATAACAATTGTATTCTGAGTCTTTGTCTATCTTCAGCAGTACTTCACACCTCACTGGCCATGGGAACCAATCATCAAAGAACTGTGCCTTTTCTTTCAAAATCTTGCATTTGTTTATATCTGAGGAAAGACACAGACAGGAAAACAAACAAATAAAAATTCCTGCTAAATGCCCTGGGTTTTCTGAGAGTAACTTTCAGTCAAATTGCTACTACTTTAGAATATGATGGTAAGCTGCTCATCTCATCCAAAAGCATTGGTTTGTAATCTTTTTGGCTTTTCTAGATGTCAGGGATAGTAGTAGATAAAAAAAATCTTGTATGTAGCAATCCTAATACTGAATCTCAGTATAAATCAAACCTTGATGCTCCTGCAGAACAGGTTTTCCTAAACTACCCAGGCCTGGCCAGTATTGAGTGCCAGTGTCTCTAAGAATACATGGCTTTCTGTGTTGACCAACGAGGGATTGTGATGTTTGTTAACTGTTTTGGGAATTTCCTGTAGTTGAGGCTTTCAATGGTGATGAGGTTGAGGGACATAAAGGAAGGGATTAAATCATGCTAGACCTTCACAGATTGGCTACATCCCTCCAGCACCATTGGAAACAGATCCTCTTCCATTGACTTCTTGAAGTTCCCTATATTTTTTTTAACCCGTCCTTATGAAAGGTGAAACCAGAAATGATGTGTGTGTCCCATAAAATGGAAGTGATGAATTATCAGCAATGATAGTTCTAATAGGAGATGAATCTTAAAAGATACAGTGCATAGATAGGTACTAAGTTACCATATTAGGAGTGGCTACCAGGCTTAGAATCATGGTGTCTGATTGACTGATTGATGATTTAGTTGTTTAGTGAATTGGCTCACATCATTTTCCTCCCAGTGCAAATAGGGAGCTGGGTTTGCAAGTGTGCTCTGTCTAGGTTCAGGCCTGCTCTTACAGCCAGACTGACACCCATTTAACCTTCTTTGAGTCTAGGCACCACTTATAACATTGGGTTCTGTTGCTTAGGAGGACTGCTATATTCATACATATTCATATAGAAGAAAAGCAGAAAAATAAATGTTGTAGAAGTGAGGACAAGACTCAGAAAGTGGAAGAACAAGTGTATAGGATCTGCAGTGGGGTTAGGAGCACATTCTTGGGATAGAACTAGAGAGTGGGATTGAGGGCAATGTCACCCAAACTATAGAAACTTATGTAATATGAAGGAGGCTGGAGGATACTGAGAGGGAAATAGTAAATTTCCTTTTAACCCAGGAGTTAACTGCTTTTTCTGAAAAAAAAAATTGATTTTTTGACTCATTAAAAACAAAGATGTCTCCCTTAGAATAAGTTGTTCTATTAATATTAGGTCAATGTATATTTTTTGTTTCTATTGGGGTTGCACGTTGTTTTCGTGAATTTGCTCAATGGACTTTTTATATGATATTTTCTGGCCTTGGTTATGGAGAGAAGCTTGTGGAATTTTATTTTCATTCAGTGCTAGGAACCCAAGCCCCTGCAAGGGTCATTCTGCAAGGTCCTTATACACAAGTCACTAAGAGTTAATTTCAAACTGAATATATTTTATAGTTGTAATCTTAAATTCTTTTTCATGTCCACACCCTATGAAGTTTCTCAGCATTTTTTTTCCTAATTGCCCTTTGTCCATAAGTTTTTTATCATTTGATTAATTTTTTCCCTTTATTATTGTGATGAGTGAAGGTACATTGTGGCATTTACGCTGGTTATTACAATGTATGAAATACGTCATGCATGAATTTACACCCTCAACCATTCTCCCTCATTCCCCCTCCCCCAACTCCTGGAGTATTTTCATCAGGTATGATTTTTACATTTACTTATATATGTACACATTTTATTGCACCATATTCACCCTCCTACTCCTTTCCCCACCCCCTCCCCCCTCCCGCTGATGTCAGCCCTTCCCCCCACCCTAAGGACTTGTTTAATACCAAAGATATACCATATATTCATTTATACACCTCTAATCAACAGAACAGATTAGAAAGTCACAAACCATTGCAATATCTGTCTCCTTGTCAACCCAAACCATTTATTTATGTCTTCAGGGAGCAATGGTCCCCATAGACACCACATGTTTTATAACTGCCAGTCAATGATTGTGGCCTTCCAAAATGGCATTCCCCTCCTATAATTGCCTTCTCTATTTGTACAGCTTACATTTATTCCCTTATTGTCTTTTTGCCCTAAGTTACTGGAAGTGGGCTTGTTTAGGGCCCCCTAACAGTGAGAAATGCCAAAGGAACATACTTATTATTTCCTATGCACAAATGATGCCCCAGGCTACAACTACCAGCTTCAGCTGCTGGGACTGAAACACATAATTCAGTAGTACCTAATTAAAAAAAAATGTGTTTTTTAAAATTTCGTTTTCTACTAACCTTAAGAAAAAGCAGGATATGAAGTATCTTCTTGTCAGATACAGAATAATGTGGTTTAAGGCACCTGTCCACCACTGCCAATGAAGTGTAATGAATTACCTAATGTGGTTTTTCTACTGTTCTTTACTATGTTTAGTAATCCCATACTTGGCATGTCTATTTGAAAGAGGAAGTTTCTGGAAATACTAAGGATATAAGTGAACATGTGTATTCATTTGCTAGAGCTTTCATAACAAAGTACCATAGACCAGGTGACTTAAACAGCAGAAATTTATTTCCTTTCAATCTGGAGACTAAATGTCTAAAATCAAGTTGTCAGCAGAGTTGCCTTCTTGTGTGGCCTGTCTCCTTGCTTATAGGTGGCTTTCTTTACTCCAGTCTCCATATGATCTCCCTCCTGTGTTTGTGTCCTAATCTTTTTTAATAGGGACACCACTCATACTAATGACTTCATTTTAACTTCATTAGCTCTATAAGGCTCTCGATGCCGAAATGCAGTCACATTTTGAGGTACAGAGGGCTAGAATTTTAACGTGAATGGAGAGGACATGATTCAATCTATAATACGTAAGACAAGGTAGAAATACAACTATGGTGGGCCACAGACACAGATGTTAACTAACATGCATCTATCAAATCCCCACTATGTTTCTTTATTAGCTGTGTATCCTTCAGTAACAGGTAACCTCTCTGACTTCCTGTCTCTTTAAACATATGATACTCATCCCTGTCTAAAAGGGATTTTAGACATTGTGTCTACAACTAATAACTCTATATACATGTCAATCACACCAACTGGATTGTAGTAATTGTCTGATAGATGGAGAGGCCATTTCTTTATCTTTTCATCTTGAATATGTATCTAGCCTTCAGTGCATTGGGATCAGCAAGTCAGTTAATATTAGCAACATTAAGACTGGAAAAATGAGTATTTATTGAGCAGCTACAATTTACTGAATACTCAAACACATAGTAGGCCAAAAGCTTGGTTTGGACATAATGTTTATAGATCATTCATCCATTCATCAATCATTCAACAGTATTTATCCTGTATGCAGTATGTACTGGGTACAGAAATCAGTCTGCTATGATCACAGAAGCCTACTTTGTGCAAGGGTCCTTTTTACTGTCAATACCCATGGTCCTCTGAATTTCCTATGACTCATTGGCATTGAAGAGTTTCTGCAGGACTCAGGAAAAAAAACGGAGTCTCAATTTCCACTGTTGCTGTGGAAATTTGTTCTGCTGTCTTTGGAAAGAGCCTTACCTGTGTCCAGGGGCTGTTGTGCAATATCACTCTGCTGGTCCACATTGCTAATTCAGCTAATTGTAGCAATTAAGTAAAGGAATCACTGCTATCAAGAGAAGCCATTATGCTGAGCTGAACAGACTGCATTCTTCGGTGCTCACTAATTATGTTGCCTGTAGAGTGACAACCACCAAATCACACACTTGAGACAGAACACACATGATTTGCATTGAACCCCACTGAAAACCACAGGCACTTCTATGTAGGCCTGACTCTTGTATTGCTCATCCTTTGCAACAGACCTTCTGTTCCTCTGATTCTCAACCCTGAAACGAGTGTCAGGCAACTCAGTGGGATTTTCAGGAATGGGATAGGCTTGAGTCTCCTAGAGCTGCTTTGGGTCCCTCAGCTTCAGAGAAGACCCATGCAGACTATGTGAACTGGAAACAAGAAACAGCAATAATGATGGGAGATAGGACATAGGGACAAATCTTTAATGTCTTTGTCCATTGGTTTACTTATCTTTCTCTGTTTTCTCTCTTCCCCCCAAATCCATCATTTTGCCTTTAATATGAACAGCCAACATCAGATGACCTTGTTTCCTCTGCTGAATGTTCAAGTGATGATGAAGACTTCGTTGAATGTGAGCCAAGTACAGGTAGGTCAGGTCAGTCTTCTTTTGCTTGCTTTCTTCTTTCATTTGCAAAAAACAATACATACATATATGTGACTATACATGTGCTTTACTATATATTATAGTGTGTTAATGTGTATGTTTCCTATATCTATATATGTATAAGCATACATATATAAATATTAATTTATAAACAAAAGCATCAAATCCCATGGAAGGAGTGATAAAATCCTAGGGAATTTTAAAGTGCCTGAAAGTTAAAGGAAAATCCGTAGTCTGCAACCCAACTTTGGGCATCCAGATGCCCAGAGTGACCTCTGGAAAAGCAGTGTGCAGCAGACAGTGGTGGATGAAAGTGGTAGGATGTTAGGGCGTGAAGAAGCCTATATTGGAATGAGAACCAAAAAACATGGACCCAAGTGGAGCCATAAAAATTGATAAATGTTATTTAAACATCATGAATTGTCCTGAGCTGAAGTAGAAAAATAAATAAGTAAAAATAAACCCCATTTTTTTCCATGGAATTTCAACAGCAGTTAGCATGGTATTTATACTAATTTTGTTCATTATATGTCTAGAGTTATGTTGCAGTATAGTGTAGAAAATACAAAATTAGTATTGAACCATGCCATGTCAACAGCTGTGATGCTTCAAAATGTATCGCCTATGCTAAAGTTGAGTGGACTTTGGCAATTGGTAGTCTCAATGTGTTCCCCATTTGGACCCAGATACATTTTGTTGTTTTCTGGTCTTTCTGTATGGTGACCTATATATGATACAATGTCCATCAGGCAATTGTCCTTGATTATTTCCTATCAACTTTCCCAAGTTGTCTGTTTCAAGACTTACTATAAGTTAAATATTTATATGTGTATAATAGAGAACAGATATCATCGAATTTCTGTGTATGTTTAGTAAAATTAAAAGTCTGAATTGGATCAGGATGTTATTTCTAGGGCTGAAAGAAACCAATAAAATGTTGTAATTAATTCTTTGGCTTGCTTTACATTTTTCCTCTTAAAAAATAAATCAAGTCTTTAAACATTGTCTTTTACTAATTTTAGAGAAGTTTAAGCTTCACACAAAAAAAGAATATATCAAAAATAAAAACCTTTCATTTCTTACCTCCAAAGGACTGAGATTTCAAATTTCATTGAAGTTTGACTGCTTCATTTCTTGCAAGTGCTTTTGGATACAGGAAGTTCTGTGAGTTTCTACCCTTAGCATTACACAGGGACATACCAATAATATGTTGACACTTACCACCCTGGAGTGTGATTTGTTCCTTTGGGAGCTTAGCTAAATGAAAGAAAAGTAAATGAGATCATGTTAGTCAGGGTTTTTTTTAGGAGGGGGGGCAGTTATTGGATATTAATCATGAGCACCAAGGTTTTGTTCAAAAGTTAATTTATTTACTCATTTATTCAATAAATATTCCTGAGCACTCAGGCAAGATCCAATATATCTCTATACTCAGTTCCTTCCTGTTCTAATACTTTTCATAAATGAGCTGTCATAAAGTAGAATAAAGAGATTTGCTGTGTAAATTACCTCTCCAACATAATTCAGTTCAACAAATACTTTTTGAGGACCAACTGCATATGCTGGGCATGTGCTACATAATAAGGACTCAGATATAAATATGACATAATCCTCAAGACACATGTTAAATTAACTTTTTCTGACCAATAGTTTAAACTACCTAGATTTTAATTAGGATTGTCTATGTATCCTTCTCTGATTTTCTTCCATTCTTAGCAGTGATGTTTGTATATACAGCAATGTTTATTAAGTCTTATATTTAATTATAGTTAGTACAAGATGGAAATAGATATTCCTACTGATATGGAGAGAAGAGGTTTGCCCTGGAATTTGATTAATCCTGATGATGGTTATCTGCTTAGTGCCATAAACCCTCCTTTGGATTACCTGGTAACTATCTCCATAGCCTTTGCATTTTCCAAAAATAAAAGTAATTAAAGTTAGAAACATTACAAGTTTCTGGTGTGAAGTTTATACAGTCTAAAGAGAACTCATTCACTGCCTGTAGAATAATGGATGAACAATGGTGACATTCATATAACTTTGATATGAATTGTGAATCCTGAAATTCTATATGAACATTGAGATTAAAAGTCTGGTTTTAAACATCCTAATTTGCTGCCTCAGTTTCTAAAATTTTATTCTTTTCCAAACCTAAGACTTGGTAGAAATACACTAAATTTGGCTAATCACCCAGGCCTCTTTCTATCATATTTAACTATTACCTGTCCTTTCTCACTCTCTTAGCAAGTTTATTATTTTCTACCTGTTTTATTTATGAGGCATTTTACTTTCACAAGTTATTTCCTGATTAATTTAGGTCCATTTGAAGCTATCATATTTCTAAAATTTGGGAGAATAAGCATATGCTCTAATTCAAGAACTTTTTTTTTTTTTCAAATCAGTATCCAGTTTTAGTGAAATAGTTTTTCTAATTCCAAATGGATTTTGATGCTTCTGGCTTTGAGTCACATGTAAATACTTGCCTTTCACACTTCTGTAGGACCCACTTTGGCACTTAGGGGCCACCATAGTCCTACCATGTTACGGACAAGTTACATATTTTAGAATTTGAGTTAATAGTAATCTAGAAACCTTGAAAATTCAATGAATGTGTATTTTTCCTGTAAATGAGTGAAAAAAAATCTCAAACCATGAGAAAAAGGCATAGAGTTAAACACATTTGAGATTTGGTGAATGAATTAGTTTTGCTCTGAAAACATCTCATAGTCTTAAAATTGGAGACCATTTTCCTAACTCTAACTTCATCTCCCCTTAAATAGCTAAAATAAAACCTTGAGTTAATTGTTTAAAATATCTGATTTCATACAAATAAACATTGTTCTAACAAAACCTACATTTTTCAACAAAAAGAAATGTTGTTCTGTATTTTTCCCTATCCCTTCTTTTCCTAGTAATTAAATCCTTATATGTCACAGATGTAATTGCATTTTTCTGAATATTTGCTTTATGAACCCAGTATTGAGTCTTTATAAACTAAAATCATATTAAAACCATCTGTACCAAATGAAAATATCCAAAAGAATATTTGAACTTCTAACTTATAAATTAGAATTTCAACTTTTAATTTATAAGCAAGGATTGTATTCCCAACAAAAGAGGTATTTATTTAATATTTTAGATCTTTTCTATGCATACAAACCCCTTCTTTCCCAACTGCACTTCTACTGACACTGAACTGTATAGTAACTCACATTTCTTTGTCCTCCTTTCCTCTTTGAATCTAAGGAGAAAAAGAGATGAGCTTCAGAGGCTTCAAATGGCCACTAGGGAATGGAATTCCCTCATAAGATCATGGAAGCCAAATAGCTATGAAGTACATTCACATGTGTGATCTAAAATGTAGGAATGGGTTAGGAAAATTAGAGAAACTGATGAAATTTGTTTTCCATTTCTTCCCTCTCCCTCTGCTTTTATTCCTAAAGTTTCCACCTTTTGAAATAGAAATAACACCAAAACAAATGTATTCCTAGATTAGCTTTTGTAAAATTAGAAATTGTCACCTTTTTTTAGATTTTATATATTTACAGTCTTAAGTTCCTAAAAGTCTTGGTAGCAGTGGTAATAGATTTTTAAAAAAAACAAAGAAAAAGAAATACCTTTTACAGCTGAGAGATGAACGTGGCATTACTTAACAACAATATTGATTCATCCAGCCATTTTCCAGAGATATATTTTCCTGGTTGTTAATTAACCAGTGTTTTTGGCCTTCACTTTTGTTTGTCCTTTGATCAAATCTCAAGGGATATCATTTCCACCAGAGGGCAGACAGTGAAAAGAAGCTAAGATGAAACAGTTCCATGCATCAATAGGGCTATGCTGAACAATTTTCATAGGGTTCAATGTTTCAACTAATGGTAGTAATAGGAAATCAAAAAATCATTATTATTCCCGGAGTTGTTCTCAGACGTTTCATCTGAAGTCCTCATATTTGTATTCAGTGTCATTGCTACCTTGTTCCTCTTTGTTAGCCTATTATAATGCCCAACCTGAACTGAGTGTGAGATATAAGTTTAGCATAATACTAAAAGCATGTCTATGTTTGTGTTTTCTAGGTAGAAATAGTTCTCTATCTTTATCAATTTGAGATGCCGCAAGAAAGTATTTATAATAGGAAAACCTGGCTCTAAGTTGTTCAAAACTCACCAAACCATTAGAGATTTTCTTTGCTGGAACACAGTAGAAAATACAGGTGAAACATTAAGAAAATAATAATTTTCTAATGAAAGACAAGAGGAATACAGCCTTATTAACTGGAATCTATAGATGACAAAAACATAAATGAGCTAATGTTTGTAATCTTTTTGATTTGTAGAAATATATTTTGTCATTAATGTTTCCAGCAAGTTTGAAGAGTTAACAACTTACATATTTTTATTACAAAGAAGTGAATTTTTATTTAATAATTTATGCATTTAATTTTAGAAAGACTTTTCTAAAAGGAAACTCAGAACTGATAGGACCATGTTTAAATTTTATTAGTCAAGTGACTATTCAGTAAGTAGCAAAACACTAAGTGCCTAAGTAAAGTGCCATCGGAATGCTTGCATATCAGCATCCAGAATTTCACCGTTAAGAGCTCAAATCCATTTAAAAACACTATAAGTAAACAGAAAATGAAAGTTATCTGAGACAAATATGTTAGCTTTAGTAAAAAGAATGTAAAATTATTGAGTTTACTTAATCATTATTGACTATAGATATTAGTCATGTCTGCATTTGAGCTATAATAAATATCCAACATATGCAAAAGAAAACAACACATACTTAGGTTTATGGTAAATCCTATGAATTTTTGAATTTCTTTCACTGACCTATAAATTAATGAGTATGTTCACAGGACAGTGGTTCCCAATTTAATTGTATAGTTTCTCACTTCAATCATGAATTCACTGAGTAAGTTGTATCACATTTTTATAACACAACCCCGCCCCAACCCAAGTTCATTTTTAAGTCATTGT